TCCTCTGAACCTGCCTCTGTCTCACCTACGCTATCGTGGGAATTTACAGCCAGCATTCCAGGACAGGAGGGGCTTGCATCACCCTCAGTATGGGAAGGAAGGAAGCCTCTGTTTTCCCCAGCCTGCCACCCCTCCTCTTTGGAGTCCTCACTGTTGCTCTGGGAAGGGACGTTCCTGACAGAAATTCGTCCAAAGCCCCACCATAGGTCCTAAGAGCCATTTTCATACCTCACAACATCTAGACAGTTTTGCGTGTTCAGACCCAGAAACCTCCCCCCTCAATAAATTCACACTTGACTCAAATTTTGGTTTTGGTTTTTGGCAGAATTTAGGCCACAACTTTATTGATTATAGGCTCTGGTTCGACTACCACATAGGTCAGCCAAGGGTAAACACCTGGATAAGTGGAAAGCAGGGAACAGGCTATCCCCACCACCCAAATGTCCTCCTAATCAGCCAAGTGGGGGGAAGTCCTGGCGTGCAACTGTCCCAATGACACAAGACACACGACGGCTTAGCAAGGTCAAGTGCAAAGCCCTAAAAGTAGGGAGAGGTGGGTGGGTGTTCCAAATGCACAAGCCAAAAGAGGAAGCTCTGGGTCATGTGCATGGGCATAAATAGGTCCCTCAAACTGTTTGGACTGCATCTCATTGGCCAGATTGTACCCAGCTTCAAGGGACCTACCAATCGGATGTTGTGGCTGACCAATAGTACCCACCCACAACACAGGGTGTCAATTTTTACAGGTCTCACCGCAATACGTGCCCTCTTTAAGGGAGGACCCGATTTATCCTAAAGTATATCCTACTATGATTCGTTAACTGTGTTGTGTTCTGATCCATGTATATGATGCACCCTGCCCTTGCCACAGCATTGGCTACTGATACGGACAAGAAAATGCACAACATGGTATTATTTCAAAGCACAATTCAGCTCTACGTGTTAGAGAAGAGGAGGGAACATGAAAACACAGCGCTTGGTGGCATTTCCACTTTGACTTACTGTTATCGCATCTTCATTGTTATCTAAAAGAGTAAATGTGTAATGCAAAAGTCCTACTGTTAATTAGAAAATTGTATCTGAATGCCAAATGTACCATCTGCATTCTCCTAATTAAAACAATCCAGAGAATTGCTAACAAACATCAGCAATGCCATTGTGCTTATACCACAATTTTACTAAGCTTTATTTGAAAATGTCTCTAATGTGGATTCTAAATGGGAGATGGGGGAGCTGTTAACACAAACTCTAATTGTCAATGAAATATCATCCTTTTTATTTTCATTATTATTATTATATGTAATTGAAGCTTCAGTGACAGACAACTGAAAAACTGGCTTATGCCAAGTAAAATGTAAAAATCCAACTGGTCAGGAATGTGCAAGTGAGACAGGATAATACCCAACTTTCTGCTGCATTCTGCCCAAACTGAAATTCAGGGCAAGATAATGTAAATTGAAAGAACCTATTTGAGCAAACTGTTCCCTCCCCCATTATAAGTGAACTGTAAATTGAATTAAATTTGCACTCCAACTCCTGTCCCTGTAACAATGACTCCCAACATTTTTTGAGTTGCAATGTGATCTTAATAAGTATTTTAGTTTCATGCTATCCAAATCTTTCTCCTCACCCCTTTTTTGTATTATAGATTGATGTTGAGATCCTTTGAATGCTCTCTGATAGAGGTTTAATGATTTACCAGCACTTTCTGTATTGTTTTTTGACTGCTGAATGTGCATGTACAGTGCCATAAATTAATCAGCCTTGGCCCAGTATACCTGAAGGAATGTCTCCACCCCCATCGTTCTGCCCAGACACTGAGGTCCAGCTCTGAGGGCCTTCTGGCGGTTCCCTTGCTGTGAAAAGTGAAGCTACAGGGAACGAGGCAGAGGGCCTTCTTGGTAGTGGCACCCGACCTGTGGAACACCCTCCCATCAGTTGTCAAGGAAATAAACAACTACCTGACTTTTAGAAGACATCTGAAGGCAGCCCTGTTTAGTGAAGTTTTTAATGTTTAATGTTTTGTCGCTTTATTATTATTATTCTGTTGGGAGCCACCCTGAGTGGCTAGGAAAACCCAGCCAGATGGGCAGGGTAAAAATAAATTATTATTATTATTATTATTATTATTATTATTATTATTATTATTGACTCACTGACCATTTGGCAGATTCTGGCAGGCATGCACAAAGCTCCAGGAAACAGACTTTACTGACCCATTTTATGCCTAAACATAGAAATAGTGGTCAGTATATGCTGTGAAACAGGTTTGGACAAAAGCTCGAAGGACTCAAAGAATTTACTCCTTGTGGATTTAAAAACAAAACAAAACAGAAACTGACCACATTTGAACTAAGATGCAGATCAGAACTACACTAGCTTTCATATTTCCAGAATGTTCCAACACCGTTCTTGGCTTTAGATAAAGGATCTAACCACATTAATAAAATATGCAGTGAAGCAAAATGCATTTACAAGTAGGTATTTGTATACACATTAAATCTGAATCGGATGCAAATTGGTCAGCATGCAAATTTTTGAAGAAACGGGGTGGATCGGGTTTAGGAGGGAGTGAAGCAGATCAGAAATAGACTGACTCATCCATCCCTCATGTGTGTGCACATACAGCAAATTGCATATTTATTGAGGGACAGGGGAGACCGTCAGACTCACATGACCAAAACTTGACTGATACAAATAAAGCTTAAGATGATACAGAATGCTAAATTCAAAAGGCAGCAGTCAGTAGGGCAGGGCAGAAAGGGGGGGGGTTGCACACCTTACCTCCCACTACCCAACATCATTGCTGCTGCATGCCGAGAGGGGAAGGGGAAAGGCACAGGGAGCTCAGCGCGGTGCAAGTGGGGTGGCACGAACATTGGGTTGGCTTCAATTGCTCCACTGCGCCTCCCCCTCTCAGAAGCCAACAGCAGACCTAATAATAATAATAATAATAATAATAATAATGAAGGGAGAGGGGAACGATTAATCATTAATATTATCTACACATAGTAAATTCCTGCACTAAGCTATTGTGGTTAAACAGCTCAAGACTGCAGTCGCTTGCAGAATCTAAATCAGACAGGTCAAGAGGCCGTTTCCTGCCTAACCAGCTATCTGAAACTGCTGATGTTAGCCACAGGTCAGAAGGTCGTTTCCTGCCTAGCCAGAAACTGCTGTTAACTAAAAACCACTAGCAAGATGTTTCCTGCTTTGCTTCTGCTTTAAGTAATGCAAGATAAGAGATACGAAGGGAATGCTTAGCTGGCAAAAGAAGACACGTGTACAAGGAGGTGGGAGGGGGTGCTTACTGAGCAGAGAAAATGCTTAACCAGCAGAGGAAGTGCTTAGCTAGCAGCCTTAGCCAGCAAATATTGATATGCCCTAAAAGGGAATGAGTTGAAAACTTGCCAGCTGATTGGGGAAGTTTTGGGGGGAGGTATGGGAGGAGGGTGAATGCTTTCAGGTATAAAAATGCTTGCTGAACATGGTAACAACACAGTCAGATTTCAGAAACTATATTCTGCTGGCTGTCTCTGTGCACAGATTTGCAATAAAACTCTTTTCTCCAAAGAAGAAACTTTCCTGGAATTTTTTATTCTCTTCTCGGTCCTGGGGACGCGGGTAAGCAATTCTCCGGCAAAGTAAAAGGCATAAGCCTACAGCTTGGTGCGTTGGCCGGGAAATTGCCCCACCCCAGGGGGGCCGGGAAGAGCCAGGCTCGACCAGGTGGACAGCTCGGACCGGAGTTTGCAGGCTTCAAGCGCGCACCCTACTGATTCGTGGGGGAAACCGGCCACACCGCTCCTGAGTGGGGACCTCGGTCGAGGGAGGAAAGAGGCCAAAAGAGGGAATCCGCAGCGGAAAGCAAAAGGTAAGCCCGAAGGAAAGGGCTAGGGGCCCAAGGAAAGGGCTAGGGGCCCAAGGGTAAGGGCCAGAGGTCTGATCAGCCTCACCTGGTCATAGCAGTACAGTGCTACCAGGAAAGGAACTGGCCGTGGCAACAGGGGGGGGGGCCGCCAGTAAGGTTGGGTGAAAGGGAAACAGAAGGGAAATTGTATTGGTGTGTTTTGTGTGTTGCATGTTGGAATCATAATGGAATGATTTGTATGTTGTATGTTGCGTGTTCAGATACTCCTGTGAGTGAATTTTGAGTGTGGGCCGGGGCCTAGCGTTCCCCTTGGCCGGGCGATTGCAGGATTGTGCGTTTTCTGGCAGGGAGACCTCGTCCAGACCACAATCTGAATCGTGTGAAGTGTGAAAGAATTTACAGCCCAGTCAGGTGCGGAGTATCTGAAGGAAAAAAAAAAAAAAATGGGGTCTGGGGCAAGCCAATGTAGTCCTCTGGAATGTTTTTTAAACAACTGGAAAGCGGCCACAAAGCATGATGATTGGGGAATCAAATTGCGAAAACAGAGAATGAGGACATTATGTGAAGTTGACTGGCCCGCACAAACTAATTGGCCGTCAGGAGGAAGCTTTGATTTGCAACTAATCAGCCCATTATATCAGAACATATTGAATGTCCACCCCGACCAAATCCCTTACATTTCTACTTGGAAAACCAATGTAGAAAAGAATCCACCATGGTTGAAAGCCTGCCAAGGCGACGCCCCACGAAATACAATTTGTGCAGTTCGACCGGCAGGGAAGGCAGAAAAGCCCCCGGTGATACCAGACCCAGAAGATGAGGAGGGGGGAGTCATCAGACCACCACCACCCTATGCTCCACCAACTGCCCCTCCAGCAATTCCCCCAGGCCCAGGTCCCCAAGCACCGGGAGGAGCTGGCCCCCAAGCCCAAGCAAGCCCCCCATCAAGCCCAGAACAAAAGGACAGCGACTTGTTAATGAATGATGATTTAGAGGAAAAGAAGGAGGAAGGAGATGATGAGGAATTTATAGAGATGTTGATAAGATGGACGGGGGAGAGTAAGAAGTGGACCAAGGAACAAGAGGAACGCATTGCGGCATTTGTGAGCCCCTATGCGGAGAAGTTGGATGTGAGCCCCTTGTTAGTTGAGGCAGCAGAATGTTGTACCCCGGACAGGAGAAAGAAATGGCAACGTAAGTGGGGAGAGGCGGCGAAGAGAGTTATGTCTCATAGACAATATGAGAAAACCAGGAAGGGTCAGGCAGCAGGAGTAATGCCCCTCCGAAGGGTTTATGACCCACCGGGACCTCCAGGGCCTGGTGGGGCGGAGGCACCACGGACCTACACGGTCCAGCATGTACCCTTTTCAAGTGCAGATGTTTGCAATTGGAGAAATCAAAATCCTTCCTTTGAGGAGAATCCAGCAAAGATTATAAAATTGTTTGAAGGGATTTTTAAAACCTATAATCCCACTTTTGATGATGTGCAGTATTTGATGGATGCGCTGTTAACCACAGAAGAAACTAGGCGAATCCATGTTGAAGCCCGAGTACACATGAGAGCACAGGGAACACCGGAGCCAGACATTATAACAGGATACCCTGATAGTACACCGAATTGGAATTATCAGACTACTGAGGGCCAGAAAACCCTCACTACCTACCGCCAGAATGTGTTAAATGGTATGAGGAGGGCAGCCAGGAAACCCACCAACTTTGTGAAGGTCAGAGAGGTAGTGCAGGGGAATGAAGAGGCCCCAGGGGCTTACCTGGAACGCCTGAAGGAAGCCTACCGTCAGTATACTCCTGTAGACCCAGATGAGGCTGCCAACGCCCTTATTGTAAAGGCTGCTTTTGTAGCTCAGGCAGCGCCCGATGTCCGCCGAAAAATTCAAAAACACGAGGGGTTCTTGGGCCACACCCTTGAGTGGATGTTAGAACTGGCTCAAACCACTTACAATCAGAGGGAAGACGAGGAACAAAAGAAAAAGGAGAAGTATCAAGCAAAAAAGTTGATGGCGTTGCAGGCTACCGCACCCATCCCTCAGAAAAGAGGAAGTGCCCGGGGAGGAGGGCAAGGCCGCCTGGGGAGGAATCAGTGCGCCATCTGCCGGCAGGAAGGGCACTGGAAAGGAGAATGCCCACAGGCCCACTTAGGAGGGAGAGGACGAGGAGAACGAGCCCCAGGCCCAATCCCCAGGGGACCTGGACAGGACCTAAGACCTTGGTCATCGACAAATGCTAGCAGGGGTAGAGGACGTGGACAGGGACCTCCCTGGTACCCCTCAGCCCAAAGGCAGCCTGGCATGATGAGCCTGAGAGAGGAGGAAGGATACTAGGACAGACCGGGCCCAGCTGCTTTAGGTTCCCGTGAGCCCATGGTCAAAATACAAACAGGGAACCAAACTATCCCCTTTATGGTTGACACAGGAGCCGCCCACTCTGTTTTGCCCATGCCAGTGTCCAAGCCCACCAAGCAAACAATTAACATAATAGGAGCCACAGGGAAATCACAAAGAGCCCCCTTCTTGCAATCTGTTGCCTGTTGCCTGGGCGGCCAAGTAGTCCAACACAAGTTTTTGTATATACCAGAGTGTCCCATCCCATTATTGGGCCGAGACCTGCTATCAAAATTGCAAGCCCAGATTTCCTTTCAACCGACAGGAGAAGTGACAATGACTACAGGGCAAACAGGAGAGCTTTCCTTAGAGGTACCCTTAAGGGAACACTGGCGCTTAATGATGGTAAAAGAAGAGGAGGGGACTATTCCAGAGGACCTCCTGCAAGAAGTTAACCCTGGTGTATGGGCAGAAAGCAACCCACCCGGAATGGCAAAGAACATCCCACCTGTAATAGTTAAGCCCAAGCCATTTGCTAACCCTGTGGCCGTGAACCAATACCCTATCCCCCGGCGAGCTGCAGAAGGAGTATGGATACATTTGGAACGGTTGCTTCGCCATGGCATCCTGAGACAGTGTCAATCTCAGTGGAACACCCCACTCTTGCCGGTAAAGAAGGAGGATGGCACGTACCGCCCGGTCCAAGACCTCCGATTGGTCAACCAAGCCGTGGAAACCCTCCACCCCAATGTGCCCAATCCTTACACGCTGTTGAGTTTAATACCTCCTACTGCCTGCTATTTCACGGTACTGGACTTGAAGGATGCATTCTTCTGCTGCCGTCTGGCAGAGGAAAGTCAGCCCCTGTTTGCATTTCAATGGATGGATCCAGGAACAGGCACCAAGGTGCAATATACGTGGACGAGGCTTCCACAAGGTTTCAAGAATTCTCCAACCCTTTTTGGGGTAGCATTGGCCTCGGACCTGTCTAGCTTCCCCACCAGCCCACACAGGGTCTTGTTGCAGTACGTAGATGACCTTCTTTTGGCCTGTTCAGACGAGGACACGTGTATGAAAGCCACCAAGGATTTGTTAAATCACTTGGCTGAAGCAGGATACCGAGTATCTAAGAAAAGGCCCAAATATGCCAACCCACTGTAAAATACCTTGGATTTGATATATCCCATCAGCAACGGACCCTTAGAGAAGAAAGGAAGCAAGCCATTATCCAGATTCCAGAGCCAAAGAATCGCAGAGAACTTCGTGGCTTCTTGGGCTCGGCAGGATTCTGTAGAATATGGATCCCTGACTTCAGCACAATTGCCAAGCCTCTGCACGAGTCAACCAGAGGAACTGAGAAGGACCCCTTTGTGTGGGGAGAGGAGCAACGGCAGGCCTTCAAGGATCTGAAAAGGGCATTGCAGCAAGCACCAGCGCTGGGTATCCCAAATCCTGAGAAGCCTTTCTCCCTGTTTGTGGATGAGGACCAGGGAACAGCGAAGGGAGTGCTATGCCAAAAATTGGGGAGCTGGCAACAACCCGTGGCATACCTATCTGAACGCCTGACGCCCACAGAACAAGGTTTACCGCCATGTATGAGAGCAGTTGTGGCAGTAGCCACCCTACTGAACAAAGCTGACAAATTTACTTTTGGCCAAGACACTGTTTGTGTGACTCCGCATGCAGTCCCAGCACTGCTTGACATGAAGGGTACCTATTTCCTCTCCCAAGCGAAGATGAGAAAGTGTCAGATGTTATTGTTGCACCCACGTCTGAAGTTCCAGGTCACCACCGCCCTCAACCCAGCTACCCTGTTGCCGGTAGGAGAAGGTGAGGAGCAGACGCACGATTGCATTGAAGTAATGGACGAAGTATATTCCAGCAGGCCTGATCTCAAAGACGAAGCAGACCCCCACTGGCTTTCATGGTTTGTGGATGGAAGCAGCTTTGTCGAGGCTGGGCAGCGAAAAGCAGGCTATGCAGTGGTAGCCCTGGACGACCAGGTGGTCGAAGCAAAGTCACTCCCGCCTGGAACATCGGCCCAGCTGGCAGAACTAACTGCGCTTACCAGAGCCTTGAGCCTGGCAAAGGGGCAGAAGATAAACATCTATACTGATTCTAAGTATGCATTCCTGACCTTACACGCCCATGGAGCCTTATGGAAAGAGAGAGGTTTGCTTACCTCCAGAGGAAACCAGGTGGCCCACCCACAAGCTTTGTTGAACCTTCTGGATGCTGTATGGGAACCTGAAGCGGTAGCGGTTATCCATTGTTATGGACACACAACTGGACCAGGGGAAGTGGCCAGAGGAAATCGTTTGGCAGACAAAGTGGCCAAGGAAGCAGCCCGGGAACTGGCCACAGCTCCGATCATTGGAGCACTGATCCCAGAAGAGATTTTAAGCACCGCTGACAAGCCGGCTTACACAAAACAGGAAAGGGACACTGCAGACGCCCAGGAGTTGACATTGACCAACGAAGGATGGTACCTCACACCTGATGACAGGATATGGATTCCAGAGTCCCTGTCTCGGCAAATAACTCAGAGATACCATGAGTCAACCCACATGGGGCCAGATGCTACCACCAAGCAGCTGGCAAAGTGCTTCTATATAGCCCACCTTTATCAACTGGCAGCCCAGGTTTCCAGAAAATGCCTGCTATGTCAAAAGAATAATCCCAGAACCGGACCACTGGCTCCTCCGGGAGTTCAGCACAGTGGAACTGCACCAATGGAAGATCTTGTGGTAGACTTCACTGAATTACCCCGTTGTGGATTATATCGCTACCTGCTGGTGGCAGTGTGCACCTACACCGGATGGGTCGAGGCATGGCCAACAAAGACTGAAAAGGCAATTGATGTAACCAGGTGCCTGCTTAAGGAAATCATCCCTCGCTATGGGTTGCCAAGATCCATAGGATCTGATAATGGACCAGCATTCGTTCATGCAGTCCTACAGGGACTGGCTAAAGCGCTTCAGATCAACTGGAAGCTGCATACTGCTTATAGACCCCAGAGTTCTGGAAAGGTAGAAAGGATGAACAGGACTCTAAAGAATCAGCTGTCCAAGCTGACACAGGAAACCGGGTCTAATTGGGTGGCCATGTTGCCCTTGGCATTACTCAGGGTCCGCAGTCTTCCGTCAAAACGGACCCACTTGTCACCTTTTGAAGTTCTGTTTGGGAGACCAGTCCCATATGTTAGAATGTTAAATCCGTATGTTAGCCAAGATGTGCAATTGAATAATTATGTACAGTCACTCTCCCGAGTTCTTTCTTATCTCAACAGGTGGACCCAGGCTCGCACCCCATGTGTGTTAACTGAACCGCTCCATCAGTTCGAGCCAGGTGACGGAAGTGTGGGTGAAAGACTGGCAGCGAGCCCCCCTACAGCCCTGCTGGAGGGGACCATACACCGTGCTACTCTCTACCCCTACTGCTGTGAAGGTTGCCGGCATCACCCCGTGGGTCCACCATACTCGAGTGAAGAAAGCCATTTCGGATTGGACAGTAACACCAGATCCGGAGAACTCCCTTCGGCTGACCATCTCCAGACGCCTGGCGGATGACCGCTCTGCTGATATCACACCGGAAGCTGATATCTCAACGCACAGCTGAAGAATTGGATGGGAGGGGCGCCCGCGGGCAGCGTCCCCAACTCCGTACCGGGACTAATCCAGGAAGTTCACCAGGACATTTAATATTTCCATAAGGACTTTCTCTTTCCTTTTTGTTATCTGCTCTATGTCCCACAGCCCTGACCCCACTGAGCCATACCGCCCTTATTGGCCTGCTGGCCTCTGCTACGACTGGTTCGTCTTGCCGGTGGTAAGAGATGGTGTGCTCATTGGCTATTGGAGGCTGGGGTTTGATGAGATTGCCGTATTGAAACACCCCACTGCCCCGTTGTGGCTCCTCTCCCACACCACTGTCCAGCACGCGTGGATAGTGCTCATACGGGAAGTTGCAGAGACAATCGAAATCTATCGAGTTCTGGACCGCTCTTGCTGTTGTGGGAGGGTAGTCAACTGTTATCTGGGCGGTAGAGCAGTGTACCAACCTCATTTGATAGACCAGGTCCTACTCTTAATCCAGGCGATAGATGAGACGGAAACCTATCTTGATGCAAGTATTGCAGGGGTGGGAGCCTTAACCAGGTGTGCATTGAAATTGCTAAACAAGTGCCAGTAAGAATTGCCACCTCTGGTCACTAGGGAGGCAGCACGAGAGTTCAATCCACCCGACAGGGTTAGTAGAAAAATTGACCCACATAGTGGGAGCATCAGCTCACCGGTGGGCTCTCTCCTTGAGGCTCAACAGGTAGTCGGGCACCAAGATCAGTGGGCTCTTCAACAATGAGCACACCCCCTGAATATTGGTGGGAGGAACCATGGAAGAATTGGGGTTGGTGGATAGGGGTTATCTCAACCGCTCTTGTCTTATGGATGTGTGTTTTCTTTTGCTGGCATGAGCGTCACAGGCTCTGCGGGAGACGACGGCCAGATCCTTCTATCCCCATGATGATCCTCATAGTATATCTCTATGTTGGCTATTGTAGGGGGAGAGGCAAGGACTGGCAAGCAAGGCCAAGGGGGAACAGGTTTGTTAAACAAGATATCCAGGGGAGATGATTTACCATAAGATGTGGGAAGACAATGTTTATATCAAGGATATGTTTAAGTTCGCTTACTATGTTACAAACTCTCCGATTGTTGGCTGTGTATGCATATACCACCTTATGCGCAACGGCCAGGTTTGATGCTACACGGAATTCCCATTGATACCATCTTTAGCATAGAAAATACGTTGAACCCCGAGGAAGCTCATGGCCACCTGTAAAAATAGCCCTGTCCGAGCCAGCCTTTATTTGTTTGAATTTTTCTGAAGGGTCAAATCTAAGAGGGATTTACCCCAATTGCCATTATGTCTTAAATTTTGTATTCAATAGGACCTGTACCGCCCTCTTTCCTTATGGTAATACCTCCCGGTGTTATCAATCTGATACTAGCTCCAAATTACTGACAGACATGCACCACCTCCACGAAAGCTCTAGATCCAACTCTTCCGTTATAGCCCTGTTAAACTTCACTGAGGAGCAATGGCACATGAGCCTTCTGTTTTCGCAAGCCTTCAGTGGTCAGAGCAACGCTGAAAACCCAGTCGCCTTCTTCCGAAGAACTATGGTTGATTTGTGGCGATGCAGCATTCAAAACTGTTCCCCGAGACCTTACTGGAGTCTGTACCTTGGGAATGGTGATCCCCCTTTTATATAAGGTGGAAAAGCTACCAACATCTCTCAGGCTGCGTAACCGCAGGGCAGTTAATACACCTCTTAACCACTATATTGGGACCCAGATATCACGAGCCCTGCTTCCTTCTTTAGGGGCAGCCATGAATTATAGAGATCTCCATCTGCTGGCCAATTGGACAGAAGGCTTATTCAATGATACCATAAAAGCATTGAAGGAGCTCAATCGAGAGGTGACTGCTATGAGGGAGGTTGTCCTACAGAATCGCTATGCTTTGGATGTGATGTTGGCCTCAAAGGGTGGGGTTTGTGCCCTGGTTCATTCTCATTGTTGTATGTTCATCCCAGATAATAATGTCAGTATTTCAGCCACCATCAACCACATGGAAACAATGATAGCTGAAAACCCGCTGAAAGCCACAGGGAGTGATGCATGGGGTTGGTTGTATTCCTGGCTCCCTGATGGCAGTTGGCTCAGGAATGTTATAGTATTATTAGCAGGACCGCTATTAATCCTTTTGCTTCTTTGCCTCTGTATCCCCTGCTTATTGCAATGCTTGCAGCAAATGATGCAAAGACTCCTGTCACGGAAGCTAGGGCCCACGGTCATCGCTGTGATGAGGGAGTATAGGCCCATACCCCAGAACGAACCTAAGTATTAGGTTGTTCAGAAGAAGAGGAGGGAGTGAAGGGAGAGGGGAACGATTAATCATTAATATTATCTACACATAGTAAATTCCTGCTTATACACATAGTAAAGCACTATTGTGGTTAAACAGCTCAAGACTGCAGTCGCTTGCAGAATCTAAATCAGACAGGTCAAGAGGCCGTTTCCTGCCTAACCAGCTATCTGAAACTGCTGATGTTAGCCACAGGTCAGAAGGTCGTTTCCTGCCTAGCCAGAAACTGCTGTTAACTAAAAACCACTAGCAAGATGTTTCCTGCTTTGCTTCTGCTTTAAGTAATGCAAGATAAGAGATACGAAGGGAATGCTTAGCTGGCAAAAGAAGACACGTGTACAAGGAGGTGGGAGGGGGTGCTTACTGAGCAGAGAAAATGCTTAACCAGCAGAGGAAGTGCTTAGCTAGCAGCCTTAGCCAGCAAATATTGATATGCCCTAAAAGGGAATGAGTTGAAAACTTGCCAGCTGATTGGGAAGTTTTGGGGAGGTTGGGTGGGAGGTTTGGAGGAGGAGGGTGAATGCTTTCAGGTATAAAAATGCTTGCTGAACATGGTAACAACACAGTCAGATTTCAGAAACTATATTCTGCTGGCTGTCTCTGTGCACAGATTTGCAATAAAACTCTTTTCTCCAAAGAAGAAACTTTCCTGGAATTTTTTATTCTCTTCTCGGTCCTGGGGACGCGGGTAAGCAATTCTCTGGCAAAGTAAAAGGCATAAGCCTACAATAAGTGGACTTATTCAGCAGCTGTTTCATCAGGGTAAAGGAGGGATGAGACTACATGGCCTTTACATTGACTCTCCTGAGAGCCTAAGAATGGCTGCCAGAACTTGCTGATCTCCTTTTCCCTCCCAGTCCACTTTTCTGTTGTGTCTCTTAGATTGCGAGCTGAGGGCAGGATCTGTCTTCTCCTTGATATTTGTGGAGCAGGATTAGAATGCCAATAATGATTAAGCGCGCGCGCACACACACACACACACACACACAGACATCAACCTCTTTTAAAAAACTTTTTTTGGGGGGACACAATAAAGGTTTGAAAATCTTTCTGTTGCCTTACAGTGCCTAACATGTTAAGTTTTGTTTGGTTTTAGGTTGCATTGCCTATTTATGTTCTGTGAGATAAATCCTCTCACCCTTAAGTGCAGACAGGAAACAGTGATCCTTTTTCCACACATGCAGGAGCATAAATAGCAGGGTGGGGGGTGGGGAGAATAAGCGTACCTTCAGGGAGGGATAGCTAATCCAAGCTGTTCTCATTTCAGGCTATAAGCACTCTGCACATGCTCACATACTTGTTATTTGTTTGTATGCTCTAGGGCGGAGCCATGACTCCAATTCAAGCATGGCATCAGCCAGGCAGGGGTCTGAAAGCAAGGAATTTGGGACTTTTTGGTGGGAGGCGACAAACCGAGTTAATAAACCAAGCCTTGGATGGAGTTGCTGGATAGTTAAACAGTGTCTCCACACAAAACACACATTCTGCTTCATGAAAGGAGCCAGTTGCAGGAAACACATCTTCCAGCACCATCACTGTCTTTGCATGCTAGGAGAAGCTTTCCCAATGGGATTTCTGCTTCTGGAGCACATTAAGAGCTAATCAGATATAGACCCATTAGAGGTGTAAAATAAATGAAACAGCACTATTGTGTTTTCATTGATTTTTAAAAAACTAAAAGCATATATATATATATATATATATATATATATATTATTATATAATATTTATACCCACCCACAACAAGAGCTGTTTGAAGAATCGATGTGTCGTTTGATATGTTCACCCACAACTTAACACATGAAAGCTTATACCCAGAACAAACTTAGCTGGTCTCTAAGGTACTACTGGACATTTTAAAAAAAATATTTTTATTTATTTCAACTGCTTCAGACCAACATGGCTACCTACCTGAATGCAGTAGTCCAAGTGGGAGATAACTAGAGCATGCACTACTCTGGCAAGACAGTCTGTGGGCCGGTAGGGTCTCAGACGGCCTACCAGATGGAGCTCAATCTGTTGGCCACCATACATCCTCCAACCATCTCCAGATACTACACAGGACCTTCACCCCTTCACTGGTTCCGACTTAAAAGAGAGGTAGAGCTGTGTATCGTCTGCACACTGGTAAACACTCAGCCCAACCCCCCTGATGATCTCCATATTCTTCTTCATGCTCAGGCTATGAACTAAAACATTCAGCTTGCTGGAGAGC